ATTTGATGTCTTCTCCATTCAGAGGGGCCCCTGCCTGTCATTGCCTAGGGCCCCACATTTCCTATATCCGCCCCTGGAAGCATCCACCTGTTTAGGAAAGAAGGAGTGACCGAGATCGTTTTATTTCCATCATAGATCGATTAATGATCAACTAAATTCTATTTGCTTTCTATAGATTGTTTCATGAAGAATAGGAAGCAGGAGAAGATTTCGACCTTTTAAAAAATCTAAATAAAATGTAAAAACAAGCAGAACTATGCGGCTCTATGATTGGTTTTCTACAGCTCTGCTGCCCTCTTTTGGGTGGAAATCTCCTTTTCAATCATCTTTATTTAAATGTTTTGGATAATTTCAGATAAAAAGACATGAAACTGATTTATTTCTAATGATGAGCTTTCACGCTTTGTCAGATTCTGTGAATTAAAGCGTTTCTGTTTTTCAGATTTTAGCTCTGAATCCCTGAGCGATGCCTCGATCTTTCCTGGTGAAGCGAGGAGGGCTGCACCACCTTCGGCCCTCAGCCAGGAGCCCCAGCCCCGTGGTGTTCGGCCCCTCGGAGGAAAAGCTGGAGTCCTGGGACGTCTCCCTGGGGTACTCCACAGCTAAACACCCAGAACTGAAGCAGGCGTCCATTGCTTCCTCACAGGCTGACCTCTATGCTGTCAGAGAAACTGATGCAGATTTTCAGCTGCAAATATTCCCTCCTAAGTCTAACGGTGGGTGAAAATCTATTTCTACGTCAGAACTCTCCTATCCACAGTCTAAGCGCTAAAATCAGGACCATTATATGAATAAATGATTGATTACTTTATTTTGGTTTGAAATAAAAATATATATTTTAACAAAAGAATCCATCAAACAGCAAGGCTTGTTTCTGCTGATTCTATAGCGTCATAACAATAACTGCTACTAAAACATAATTAGAAAACACATAACTTAAACTGAAAAATCAAACTTCACGTTTTATAATTTTAGATTTTAAAGTCTTCTTGGAAACTACTATCTAGTTATTAATCTTTATTTCATCATTTCCAGCCAAAGCTGATGCAGTGACATTAGTTCAAACATTATTAACCTCCTGAAGTTATAAATCTCCTGATTTAAGATTGTTTGAACAAACAGGGATTTTCTTATTTTCCACTCTTAACATAATTTCCAATGTTTTTAAATATGCAATGTATAGAAATGTTATTTCCAGAAATGTTTGTGATCCTATAAATAGCTGACCTGTAGAATCACGGCGTCAAACTCCATTTATTATTCTATTATTTCTTTTCTGCGGTTTAATTATTGGATCTAAATTAGTTTTCTATACATTTCCCCTCAGCACAGTAAGTCACATAAAGCATCACAGGTGAGAAGTACAGAAAATTAAACGGTTCTTATTCAGTAAATCTATAGTTTTGTAAATAATAGAAATAGACTTGGAACATTTATTTTTTTACATTTTTTATTTGAGGCTTCCAACAAACCTTATCATATATTACTTCTCCCAAAAAAAGAGTTTAATTTACTCTTTCAGTTCCAACATTGTTTAAAGTCAGTTTTACCTCAGTGTCCTTTTATCAACAAATAACATAAATTTAGTTTTACTTTCATTTAAGGATTTATCAGTTCTATTTCTAGTTATTAACTCACTAAAGTTCCCTACAGAACAAAATAAACTGCCCCCTGCTGGTTTAGAGAGGAACTGCTAGTGAATAATGTCCACATGGGATCAGCAGGTAGGGGGCGCCACAGGGTGGCAGTGGTTGACTGTGGGCGATCATGGCCCCTGTCTCTACCCGATCGTGATTCCGATAAAATCGCGATCCGTTCCAGCGGCTCATTTGCGCCACCAGATACCCGTCCAGGTTCCCATAAATGATGTAATTATGGAACTAAAGTCTCTTATTTCTATCCTTAACTCACTAAAGAATGTTAATAAACATCTTTAAAAATGTTTAATACATTTTCCGAGACAAATTTGATGCTTTTTCCATTTTCTCCATTTAACAGCTTCTCTGATGTCATCATGGGACACGATCAGAGCAGTAAATGTGATTTTATATATATATATATATAGATATATACCTTCCACTGCATTTTAATGTAGATAGCTTCTGTCCAAACTTTATTTATTTATTTTATAGTAAAACCCATCTGTATATATCGTATTGTACATAACTGTAAAAACCCTTTTTATAGTAATATCCACCTGTATGTTATATTCAGTTCATATCCAGCTGTAAATTTTGTTCATAAAACTAGTGATCTATATATTATATTCATTATTTATAATAGTATTCATCTCTATACTCATTCAGTAGAACCATGTCCTGTATTTATGGAACCATTATTTATCCTGCACTTGCTGCTATTGCACTTCTGGTTAGACCTAAACTGCATTTCGTTGCCTTGTACCTGTACCTGTGTAACGACAATAAAGTTCTATCTATATATATATATATATATATATATATAGATCTATATATAGGTCAGATGTTTGAGTTGCTTTATTCCCGTTGATCTAACCTGCAATATATTTCAGCTCATGACTTTTTCAAACGCGAAATACAACAAACGCTTCAAAAACGACATCATCATCACTGAATAAAGATTTCCTACATTAACATTTCTCAGTGAATGACTTTCTATTTTCTCTACTTTCTATTTTCTAACGTTAGACCCAATGTCAGCGTCTAACTCAGTCAATGTCTTCCAGTCAGTCTGAGAGAGTCAGACTAAAGTTAGTCTGCAGACTAAACTATAGGATCCATCGGCTATAGATGGATGTATTGCTTAGTTCATCCACTGACTGGGAAATGACCTGAGGAACGACTTCCTGGTTTTAGCAGCTAAATGCTGCACAGGGAGGCATTTTACTGCCACTGTGGGAGTGGGGAGTACCAACATGGCGGCTGGATGCTTCACTTTTTCAGGCAGCAATCCAGTGAATAAATAGAGATGAGTGGTAGCAACAGCCCCCCTTGGCCCCCATCTAGCTCTGCCCCTGGTTCAGGATTGGACTCTATTGAAGGCGATGCTGGAGCTTCACACCTGAAACAGTTTAGGGCACCTGTGCTATGATGTCATAGGGGGATAACAGAGATATCATTATCTTCACGTTAGGCTCGATCAGTAGAAAAAGATGTCCTTAATCTTTTTCGGCTCTCTTCCTGTAGGCTGCGCTGAGGCCTGCAGTCCTCTTCACTCTGATACCTTCATCAAAGAGGAGAAACCAGACGCTGCGGCGTGGCCGCCATCTCCTGGAAGCTCAGGGTTTCCAGATAAGCTGTCGATGGGACACGTGGCTCAGCCGCCGCACATGGAGAGGGAGACGAGGAGCGGCGGCTGCACCAGGATCAGACAGGAGTGTCTGCTCTGCAGCAAAGTATGTCAGGATTAAACCTGATGGTGGAGAGTTTTATGTTTGCAGATGTTTTCAATTCTATTCAGT